GACATTGTGATTTCATATAAAAATTCATCACAAGGAAACAAACCAGTGGTTAGAAAAATATTGAAATTTCACTAAGACTTGAGTGGCAATAGAAGTCTAACATGTTGAGGTGCAAGAGATTGGATTGGCATCTTCTGCAACTGTTTGGTCAAGCTTTGTATGTTCCACTTGGCACATCCTGGAAATTCGGTTGTGTCACTGTCTTCTCAATTGATGATAGTTGCATACTCACATAGCCAATACTCTGATGGAAATTGAAATATTTAAATTTTACTAAATACACAAATTTGTAAGTATCATAAGTGTAAATGTAAATGAAAATTCTACTTACCAGTAATGCAATGACACACCCCGCAACTTTCTCTGGAGTTTTGTGCAATGCTCTTATAAAATCGATCTATGTTGTTGTTATTGCTTTTAGTCAAGCATACCTCTTCATTGATTCAAGCGGTTCCACATACTTGATAAAAACCTACCTTATTGAGTTTTCACTTGTTGCAAAAAACAGGGAGAAACACAAATACAAAGTAACAATGATCGCTACGTCTTTGAAATTATTTGGTTGCTTCCATTTCATTGCTTTAATCAATGCCTTCTTCAATACAGGACCAGTTAGTCTTGTTTCCTTTGAGAATCTTCCCCTTAGGAATGGTGTGTTTGGTTTCTCTAAGTATTTTAATGACATGGCACATTTACCACCTTCTAAGGCAAAAATCAGGGTCATGTCATTGGTTATAAAGATCAAATTCTTCTTATCAATTATGAATGCTTTGGCTTTTTCATTGTATCATTGGATGATTACTACTACGTCATCATCTGACTTCCTACATTTCCTTGCATCAATCCTTCCCGTGGTGAGAGCTTGGATCAAATACCCAAATTGGGTCTTTTGAAGCTCTACAACTTGGTTTGAATTAAATTGAAGTGTTTGAAAAAAAGACACAACGGATGAGAGGTTTGATCGATATTGAATGTTGTTGAGTGGCAATAGAAGTCTAACATGTTGAGGTGCAAGAGATTGGATTGGCATCTTCTGCAACTGTTTGGTCAAGCTTTGTATGTTCCACTTGGTACATCTTGAAAATTCGGTTGTGTCACTGTCTTCCCAATTGATGATAGTTGCATATTCGCATAGCCAATACTGTGATGGAAATTGAAATATTTAAATTTTACTAAATACACAAATTTGTAAGTATCATAAGTGTAAATGTAAATGAAAATTCTACTTACCAGTAATGCAATGACACACCCCGTAACTTTCTCTGGAGTTTTGTGCAATGCTCTTATAGAATCGATCTATGTTGTTGTTATTGCTTTTGGTCAAGCATACTTCTTCATTGATTCAAGCGGTTCCACATACTTGATAAAAACCCACCTTATTGAGTTTTCACTTGTTGCAAAAAACAGGGAGAAACACAAGTACAAAGTAACAATGATCGCTACGTCTTTGAAGTTATTTGGTTGCTTCTATTTCATTGCTTTAATCAATGCCTTCTTCAATACAGGACCAGTTAGTCTTGTTTCCTTTGGGAATCTTCCCCTTAGGAATGGTGTGTTTGGTTTCTCTGAGTATTTTAATGACATGGCACATTTACCACCTTCTAAGGCAAAAATCAGGGTCATGTCACTGGTTATAAAGATCAAATTCTTCTTATCAATTATGAATGCTTTGGCTTTTTCATTGTATCATTGGATGATTACTACTACATCATCATCTGACTTCCTACATTTCCTTGCATCAATCCTTCCCGTGGTGAGAGCTTGGATCAAATACCCAAATTGGGTCTGTTGAAGCTCTACAACTTGGTTTGAATTAAATTGAAGTGTTTGAAAAAAAGACACAACGGATGAGAGGTTTGATCGATATGGAATGTTGTAATTAGCTCTCTTCCTTTGAAGCTTCATATGTCTTTTTCCCTTTGAGCTTGAGACGTTTAGAGTTGGTGTCTTCTTTTTTATGTTTGTTGCCTCCTGGACTTGGACTTCTTTTTTTTGGTGTGGAGTTTGTGGTGTTTTGCTGCTGCTACTGCGTTTTGATCTCAAATCATAAGTAGCAGACTCAGAGACTTTCTGTTTCTTTTTTGGTGTTTCTAGTGTTTTGCTGCTGCTACATTTTGCCATTTTCTAGACAATGAAAGCATAAAGATGTCAAAATTAAATTCTAGAGAAAATTATAGTTACAAGCACACAACTAGTCAAAGAAAATCAAAGAAGCAAAATAAATTAATGTGGTCAGATAAAATTAAACAAGTCAGAGAAAATTACACATGGCAGAGAAAATTAAGCATATCAGCGAAAATTACACATGCCAAAAAAAATTACACATGACAAACAAAATTAAATATGCTAGAGAAAATTACACACACAAGAGTGTTAAGTAATTTTTAACAAAATAAATCAAACATGGTAGAGAAAATTATATATGCTAGAGAAAATTACACACACACAAGAGAGAGTACTAAGCGTTTTTTAACCAAAATTTGAACGAATTGAACTTAAATCAAATTTGAACGAAAGAGAGGTTGGTGAATATTAAAAAATGTAAGGGAGTAGAGAAATTTAAAAGCCACAGAGAAATTTTCAATAGAAAATCAATTCCACAAGAGATAAAATCAATTCCACAATAAATTCTACCAAATAAACATACCAGAAAAAAATGAATTCCACATTAAATTAATAAAATAAATAAATGTAGCCACAGAAAATACAAAGAAATTTTCAACAATTGAGAAAACTACACATAGAAGTACAAAATAGCCAGAGAAAATTGAAATAGCCACATAAACAGAAATAAATGGGCAAATAAATACGCCAGAGAAAATTATACATGGCAAAGAAAATTAAACATGCCAGAGAAAATTATTCATCCAAAGAAAATTATACATTGCAGACAAAATTAAACATGCTAGAGAAAATTACACACACGAGAGTATTAACTGATTTTTAACAAAATAAATCAATCATGGCAGAGAGAATTATGCATGTTAAAGGAAATTACACACACAAAAAAAAGTACTAAGCGTTTTTTAACCAAAATTTTCATTCCCAAAGAAATTTTCAATAATTGAGAAAATTAAATATACAGGTACACAACTAGGCAGAGAAAATCTACAAAGTAACATGAATTAATATGATCAGAGAAATTACACAACAGAGAAATTTGAATGAATTGAACTTGAAAATTACACAAAGAAATATACAGAAATTACACATGGCAAAGAAAATAGGGGAATAAACAGAAATAAATGGGGAAATAAACATGCCAAAAAAAATTCAAATAATAAATATAGATCAAGCAAATGCCAGAGACATTCAAATGCCAGAGAAATTCAAATTCTAGAGAAATTTATAGGCATAATCACACAACAAGTTTCAAGAACAAACTCAAAATATAGAGAAATAACATTTTTCAAATTTATGTGGATTTTATTACGAAATTGAAATCCTAATCAATGGAAGGCTAATATGAAATGCAATTAACTGTGTTTCTAGAGAAAACTAATCGGTTTGTAAAAAACTTACCAGAGTGAGGATGAAATCCTAATTACGAACTAATATACTCTGACATGAAGATGCATTGTGATGAAGATGAACTGAGATGACGATGCATAGTGAAAATGTGTCAAAGAAATTTGTGAGGAATAAATCGAAAAAAATTTCGTTGAAGATAATGAAACCCTAATGTCGATCATGAAAATGATTGTGAAACCCTAATGTCGCTCTTCTGTTGCTCGTGAAAATGATTGGATATCAAGATTGAAACTCAGGTCATCGGAATCCAATTGAATTTTCTCGGTTGATTGTGAAGGGTATTTTGGTCCAAGAAATGAATAAAAATGATTGTGAAACCCTAATGTCGCTCTTCTGTTGCTTGTGAAAATGATTGGATATCAAGATTGAAACTCAAGTCATCGGAATCCAATTGAATTTTCTCGGTTGATTGTGAAGGGTATTTTGGTCCAAGAAATGAATAAAAAGCGCACGTGTTTTGGTTGTGGGACCTGAGGCATCATCCATTTTTTTAGTGTCCTTTATCCTCTAAATTGTTATTACTAGGGACCTTAAAAAAAATTCTCCATAAAGATAATAATGATAATAGATACCATAAACAGTTCATACATTAATAAATTTAAAAATATATATATTAATCAAGGATTTAATTAAAATATTAAAATAGAAGAACAAATGATAATGTGCCATGTGTATTTTTATAATTTTTTAATTCAAAAATTTATGAAAATAGAGTTAGAATTTTGAGACTCCATGAACCAACAATGTTTTGCTTATATTATATAATACAATCTTCCAAATTGAGCTAATTTTTAGGATTTAAACTAACAAAATAATAGTATAAAGAACCTCGCTGGTTGTTTCAGGTGACATTCGTTCTTAATTTATAAGTTGTAGCAGAGTTAAATTTTCGTAGAATACATTTAATTATAAAAATTGAAGGGCTCATATAAAAAATTAAAAATTTAAGCATGATACAATTGAAAATTTAAGTAGAGTTTGAGTGTGAAAATAATAGTTTACCCTAATTTTATCTCCAATTTTGTTCTTCCAAAGCTAGAAATTAAAAGAAATAAAAAATCAAATGCCACGTTGTTGAAGTAACAATATCCATTTATTTTCTTAAGATTTATCAAGACTCTTCTCATTTATGAATCCATATATTTTAATCTCCTCAATATAAAAATATACCACATACACTCTCTCTACATTATCTTAAAAAATATATATTTATATGATTTTCATATTCAAAGGATACTGATCATTCATAGATCAGGGTAAACTAATATTTTTTAATAGTTGAGTGGTCGTGGTATGATAAACCCCTATTTTTCGTCCCGTCCTGGAAAGGAAACGTAGAAATACAGAGACATCTATACACATATGAGTTCCAATCCAACTATGAAAACCATGCTATAAAATTAAACCCAACACTAATTCTCCACAGATTTTCTTACTTAGGGTTTCCAAGCTTCAAGATTGTCTCTTCAATGGCAGAAGATCAACAACAACACGTCCTCAATCTCCTAGACAACACCAAAACCCAATGGTACCACATCAAGGCAGTCGTGATTGCTGGCATGGGTTTCTTCACCGATGCCTACGATCTTTTCTGCATCTCCCTCATCACCAAACTCCTCGGCCGCATCTACTACCACGTCGACGGCTCCCCTAAACCCGGAAACCTCCCCCCTAACGTTGCTGCCGCGGTCAGTAGTGTTGCACTCTGCGGAACCCTAGCCGGTCAACTCTTCTTTGGTTGGCTCGGGGACAAGATGGGCCGGAAGCGAGTCTACGGGATCACCCTCTTGCTTATGGTGGTATGTTCCATCGCTTCCGGCCTCTCGTTTGGGAGCTCGCCCCGAACCGTTATGGCCACCTTATGCTTTTTTAGGTTTTGGCTAGGGTTTGGAATTGGCGGCGACTACCCTCTGTCCGCCACCATCATGGCGGAGTATTCGAATAAAAAGACACGTGGCGCATTTATTGCGGCTGTTTTTGCCATGCAAGGGTTCGGAATTATCTCTGGTGGTGTCGTAGCTATGGCCGTATCGGCCTTATTTCGATCTCTATATCATGCTCCATCATACGCGGTGAACCCAGTGAGGTCCACCGTGCCTGAGGCGGACTACGTATGGAGGATTATTCTCATGGTTGGTGCGCTTCCGGCAGCTTTAACCTATTATTACAGGATGAAGATGCCGGAAACGCCCCGTTACACAGCCTTGGTGGCCAAGAACAGTCAAAAAGCTTGCGAAGACATGTCAAAAGTATTAAACATGGAAATACATTTAGAGAAGATTGAAAGGCAAAACAGTAGGAAAAGAAGTAGCAATAGTTTCGGCCTTTTTTCGAAACAATTTCTTCGCCGCCATGGATTGCACTTGTTGGGGACAACAACCACATGGTTCTTGCTAGACATTGCATACTACAGCCAAAACTTATCCCAAAAAGACATATTTAGCTCTGTGGGTTGGCTTCCACCAGCGCAAACCATGTCTGCCCTCGATGAGCTCTACACAATAGCAAAATCCCAATTCTTCATCGCATTATGCGGCACAGTCCCAGGATACTGGTTCACCGTCGCCCTCATCGATCACATTGGTCGATTCACAATCCAATTACTCGGGTTTTTCTTCATGACAGTTTTCATGTTTGCACTGGCAATTCCATACCATCATTGGACTTTAAAGAAGAACAACATAGGGTTTCTTGCTATGTATGCTCTCACTTTCTTCTTTGCCAATTTCGGGCCTAATAGCACTACTTTTATTATGCCCGCGGAGATCTTTCCTGCTCGGTTTCGCTCTACTTGTCATGGAATTTCAGCGGCCGCTGGGAAAGCCGGCGCGATTGTCGGGGCTTTCGGGTTTTTGTATGCATCACAGAGTCAAGATAAATCGAAGACTGACGCAGGGTACCCACCTGGGATTGGGATGAGAAATGCTCTAATGGTGCTTGGTGGGATTAATGTTCTTGGGTTTTTCTTTACTTTCTTGGTGCCGGAATCGAATGGAAAATCGCTGGAAGAGATCTCAAGGGAGAATGACGGAGAAGGAGATGATGATGAACAATCTGTGCAGACTGAAATTGTTTAGTGTTTTTTTGGCATTGCATGCAGTGGAATTGTGTTTATGAACTTCAGTTTGTTTGGTTACACGGTGATTTTTTTTTTTTTTTTTTAAATCTTAATTTTGTTTTATTTTTTGGAGGATATTATCATTGTTATGGCTTGTTTCAATCGTTAATATCTGGCTCTAAACTTTTTGGTGGTGAATAGTTATTAGTTTGTACAATAGAATTCTTTTATGTTAGCGTTTTAGAATAGCATTTTAAATAAATGTGTGATTTTTGGTGAATGCCCCTCCCATAGTTTCAAAAGTTCCTCAAATAAAAAAAATATAGTAAAAAGATGGAAATACCCTTCCATATAAATGAGCAAATATCAAATGATGGAACGGTTTGTCTCCCTTACTCTGTTTCATCGCTTGAACTCGTTGCTCTGAAAACAAATAACAGAAATACACAAAATAGAGTAAAATTTTACTGTCATTGTATCCAAAAAAAAAATAGAACACATAACATCAGAGTATAATTTTACTCTCATTTTATCAAACAAAAACAAAGCACATATTAGAGTAAAATTTTACTCTCATTATGTCAAACAAAATCAGAGCACATATTAGAGTAAAATTTTACTCTCATTCTGTCAAACAAAAACAAAGAACATACCAAAGAAAAAAATAGAGAGATAGAGAGAGCACATATATTGCTTTAGATCTAGTTCAAATCAGAATAAAATTTTACTGTCTGAAAAATAGAGCATGATGAGGAGACAAAGAGAAAAAGAGAGAGAGAATATAGATCTGAGATGATAGATCTCAAATTTGAGGTTGTCAATCTCAGATCCGAGGTCTTGGACACTAAGGATGACGATGGTGGTTGCCCGTGGTATAGTGACATCGAATGGCCCTGGTGGTTGACATGGTGGTGGTGAAACGGTAGAGGCGGTGGTTGTGAGGGTGACGAACAGCGCCGGTGGTTGAGACGGTGTTGGTGGAGACAGTGGAGGTAATGGAAACAATGATAGTCGTGGTGGTTGTGGTGTAGATGGTGGTAGTGGTGGTGGTGATGCTGGTTAGAGCTCTTAGAAAGAGATAGAAAAAGAAAGAGGGGAGAGAGAGATGACAAATTGATGGAGAGAAAGAAGAGAAAGACAGAGAGAGTGTGTGTAGGAGTGAATTTGTCACATAAAATATAAATCTGAAAATTTTTGTCCTTCTTACAAGATTTTTTTATTTTGGCAAAGTTTATCAGCCAAAAAATTATAACTTATCCTTTTCAAAAAAATAAAAAAAGGGGCTCTATGAAGGAGTTATGGCCAAAAATCCCTTTTAAATGTTTAAATTTTTTAATTACAAATTATGGTGGACCATTATTACAAGAGTATCTACTAATTTGTCGATCCAAAAAACAAAAAAAAAAAGTATCTACTAATTTGACAAAATAGTAGGTATCACTGTATTTACTTTATTTCCTACGTTAATCATGTAGGAAATATCATGTATATATGTGGAGCTTATTATATTTAGAAGATAATAGAATCCATCATGTCCATGACAAGCCCTGTAAAAAATGAATTTTTTTTTATGAAATATGTAACTTTCAATAATTTTCTGGTGTTAAATTTACACCTTACACTCCACTTTTGAGATAATTTTTTATAGTTGCTAGCAAATATTTATGGCTTTCAAGTGGCTCAACTAGACATGTTTTCAACATAAATTTTAAAAAAAAATTAAAAACAAAAACAAAAAGGGCCTCAATGTTATGTTTCATTTGTTCTCCTTGTTTAGCTGGCACATCACTGCCTGGCATTCTGTTTTTGACCGTCATCATCTTTATCAACATTTCAAATGGAATGATTCAAAAGCATGAGTTTAGGTTGGGCTTTCAAAAGTAGGTCGCTCTAAATTTATACTTCTTTCTCAAAGGCTCTTTATTTTGGTTGTCACTAATCACATATAAGGCGGTCTTTCAAATTTTTTGTTTGTCACAACAAATTGAGTAAGTTATTTTTATTTCTGTGACTCCATCAGGTGACTCAATATTTGTTAATTATTTTTATCAACTACTTTCAAAATCATAATATTTGTTAATCATAATATTTGTTAATTATTTTTATCAACTACTTTCAAAAATAGACAAACTACTTTCAAAATCATAATATTTGTTAATTATTTTTCAAATAAATGTGACTCCATCAGGTGACTCAATATTTTATCAACTTAATTTTTTATATAAATAATTTACACAAAGGAAGAGGCTTCTCTCCAATCCAAATTAAATTGGAGATAGTTGTTGGGCCTTTGTGAGCCCACCATAACTACAAAAAATTAAGGTTTTAGAGAATAAAATTTAGGGATAAAATTATTTTTTAGGGACCAAATAATTTTGTTGCGAAAAGTGTCGTTATTATATTTTTAGTAACAAAAATTGAACATTAGTGATGAATTATTATCTTTTTGAGACCAAATTATTTTGTCCTCAAAGTCTATTTATTAGTAACATTTTCAAAATTTCGTCGCTAAATGCCTTATATTTTACTTTTGGGGCGACCTTTAGCGATGACGATGAAAATTGGTCCGTAAATATTTTTTGCAACAAAATTTTTACTTTTAGAGACCAAAACATTTGGTCTCAAACTCTTATATGTTGTAGTGACAAAACCCACATCGATAATCCAGACCATGCAATATGTAGAGCTCGTCGAGTACTTCATCTCTATAAAAACTCATGTTGATCGGATATCGATATCCACTTGATCTTATCACATTTGTGTCAATGGTAAATGTAATTTTAAAAATAAATTGTTGACACAAATGTGATCTAATCAAGCGATTATCGATATCCGATCAACGAATTTTTTTTGTCAAAAATGAAGTATTGAACGAGTTCTATACATTAAACGGTTCGGATTATCTCTATAAAAACTCATGTTGATCGGATATCGATATCCACTTGATCTTATCACATTTGTGTCAATGGTAAATGTAATTTTAAAAATAAATTGTTGACACAAATGTGATCTGATCAAGCGATTATCGATATCCGATCAACGAATTTTTTTGTCAAAAATGAAGTATTGAACGAGTTCTACACATTGAACGGTTCGGATTATCAATGCAGCCTCCGTAGTGGCCCCACAAAGACCCAACAATCCCTCCAAATGAGTTTCTCAACTGAAGAGAACCCAAGTCTTTACACAAAATACTCAACTGCTCAAATTATCAAGATGGACCACAATGAGCCATACTGGATTTTTCCAATTGGAATACCCAAATTGAATATATATGTATATATATTTGGAGAAATAACATCACAGTGAGGTCAAAAAAAAAAATTAATCAGTGTGTTTGGTTTAGTTTTTTGAATTCAGTTTTTTAAAAATTAAGTTTTTTGTTTTTCGTATTTTTTTGTTTTTAGTGAATATTTTTTAAATTTTAAGTAATTTTTTTACTTTTTTAGATGCACCTTACTTAGATGTATCTAAATAATAAAATATTTGTGAAAAATATTTTAAAAAATTAATAAATACATAAAAATAGAAAAAATGTACTGAATTTTCATATTTTTTGGTATTTAGTGTATTTTGTAAAAAAAAATTACAAATATTATACTTTTTAAGTTTATTTATGTTAGGTATGTCTAAAAATTTTAAAAAAAAAATGCTTGAAATATTTATAAAAAATCATTGAAAACATTAAAATACGAAAAATAAAAAAATAAAATTTTCTGAAAACTATATCTAAACAAGCTGATAGAATTATGAAAAAGTATGATATTTTACATATTAAATATATAATTTTTAATTGATTTATTTTTTTAAAAAAAATTTCCTGATACTGTGGTGTTATTTCTCCAATATATTTCCATGGCCCACTATTTGGACTTGTAAATGGCTAACCATTTGTCTGGTGTGACGTATATAAGGGACATCAATTGAAGTATGTGTTTCAAATAAAAAAAATTATTGATTGATCCAATGGTGCTACGTGATCGTACTTTTCACCGATTAGAAATTATTATGTTTCTTTATATTTTTTAATTAATCAACACAAAATTATGAATTTACACTCTATTACCAATTACAACACTATTAAAACACCATCTAATAATACTCAAGAACCAATGAATAACTTCTCGTCAAATAAATTGCATCACCAAGAAAGTGGTACTTTTTCTGCCTGCTCAATATAGTACTACGTACCACTTTTAATTGTCTCATTCACGTTCAAGTGATTATTGATCACACAAGAAATATGCATAAATCCCCTGGCCAAAATTTGAACAAAAAATGCGGCTGTAATACAGAGCTCTCTGCAGAAGTTTGGAAAGTTGATTCCAAACACACAACCAAACATCATATTGAAATACACATGTGGAATTACATTTTGAATTCACAACCAAACAGAGCCTAAAATTTTCTAAAACTATAACTAAACAAGCTGATAGAATTATGAAAAAGTATGATATTTTACATATTAAATATATAATTTTTAATTGATTTATTTTTTTAAAAAAAATTCCTGATACTGTGGTGTTATTTCTCCAATATATTTCCATGGCCCACTATTTGGACTTGTAAATGGCTAACCATTTGTCTGGTGTGACATATATAAGGGACATCAATTGAAGTATGTGTTTCAAATAAAAAAAATTATTGATTGATCCAATGCACCAAGAATCCTCTAGAGTGAAATTTTCTTAAAGTTTCCTAGAGTACTACATTGTGTGCTTGAGATTTACTGGCAAGTCACATCAGAAAAATTGATGTGACTTGCCAGTAAATCTCAACCACACAATGTAGCACTCTAAGAAACTTTAGGGAAAAATCACTCGGATCCTTGCTCGATCCAATGGTGCTACGTGATCGTACTTTTCACCGATCAGAAATTATTATGTTTCTTTATATTTTTTAATTAATCAACACAAAATTATGAATTTACTCTCTATTACCAATTACAATACTATTAAAACACCATCTAATAATACTCAAGCACCAATGAATAACTTCTCGTCAAATAAATTGCATCAC